TATTTATTTTTTAGTTCTCGGCGGACACAACATCTTTGTTGGTATGTGGTGCTGAGGATCGAACCCGGGCCGCACGCATGCCAGGTGAGCGTGCTACCGCTTGAGCCACATCCCCAGCCCTACAGTTTTAATTTCATGCTTAAGGATGACAGATTCAAAGAGTACATTAAATCATCACAGACTGCCAGGTACAGTGGTGCATACCAATACTCCCATCAGCTTGGGAGAGCAAGCAAGGAGAATCACAAGTTCAAAGCCGGCCTCAGCATCTTGGTGAGTCTGTCTCAAAATTAAAAATAAAAAAGGCTGGGGATATGGCTCAGTAGTTAAATGACCCTGAGTTCAATCCCTGGTACCCGCCCCCCCCAAAAAAATCACCACAAACTGGACATATTGGGCCTGCATTTTGAGAATTGGCAGGGAGGAAGAGCCCTTAGCTCTGCATTTCAGATAGAAACTTTAGAGGCAGGAGGATACAAACTTTAGAGGCCTCAAGGAAGCCTGGGCACTCACCCAGCTGCATCTGTCCTTCACCACACACACACACACACACACACACACACACACACACACACACACACAATGAAGCCCTTAAAGAATTACAGGATCTAAAATTCAAGCTCACTGCCCCTTTCACAGCAATTTTCCACAATGGAATTTCCTTCCTTTCTTTCTAATTTTTCCTTTTTTTTGAATAGATAACACATTCAAAATGCAAGAGGTTCAAAAGTTAAGAAAGTAACAAAGTAACAATTTTCCCTACTTAAGGGATAAGAGACTTTTTATTTGACAATCTCAATTTTCTTTGAGACAGGGAGCTGATTGCTGAGATTGCCCTCAAACTTGAGATCCTCCTGTGTACCTTCTAGAGTCACTGGCATTATAGGCATGTACCACTGTATCCTGTTCAATCTACACTTTTATACTTTTTAAAGCAGGAGGACAGAGAAGACAGTAGCTGGCATGTGCTACTGGTTGGTATCTGTTCTGGCTAGTGCCAGTTGCTCATTATTTTAAGTAGCACCCTAGAGTATAAATGTACTGCCTATGTAACACTGAATAAAACTCAAGTTTCCTTCCCCAGAAGTAGCCAAAGTCCCTGGTTTATTGTTTGTCTTTTCAATTATATTCTATAAATAAAAAGGCAACATATATAAATACTCATTTCCCATTTTCCTTCAGTATACAGTAGTACGCTATTTGAATTTCTTCTCATTGTTCTTCTCACGACATCAGGAGATCATTCCAAATCATTTCAACTCTGCTCCTTATAGAACTGAGTAGCACACAGTCATGAGAAAAAACAGCAATAAGTTTTCAACTGCTCATAGATAATTTTAAATTTCTGTTAATTCTTTGAAGGTAATATCCACAAAGCCCTCTGGTTTATTAAGCAGGCAGGCAGGCATTCTGAAGCCTCTTTACCTAAAGCATTGGTGTCAGGCTGGGTGACTTCTCAGAGCATAGTGGCTGACTCTGAACACTAGGCCAGGGGAACATCTACTATGTCTACACTGTCGACCTTCTGCTCTGATGCCTTACACTCAGCAACCTCAACCTGCTTTTATTATCTATTCCAAACCTGTCCTTTTTCAACATCTGATCACAGCTAAAGAAAAAGAAGCCTGCTTCCTGGCTACCAGTCAATCCTTCCTGAACTACAACCACTTTATCCCACCACCACACACCCAACAATTTGCCAGCCAATACCCATATCCAAACCTCTGGCCTTTTGCCATTCTAATCCACCAGACACATGGCTTCTCTGCTCCAAAAAAAAGGGGGGGGCGGGCAAAGATACCAAAGTCCAAGTCCAACTGATCTGATCCCAACTAAAGTTTGCGATCCTATGTTCCTTTGCTCCCTCTTCATCTCCCATTCCCCAGTCCTCTGATGAAAATGAGCCATTCACAGTTCTGTCTTCACCACCTAGGGGCCTCCATGCTCCTGCACATGCCACTCTTCTCATCTGTCCTATAACTCTTCCTCAAGGACCACATTTCCTCATCAGAAACAAGTTTAAGGGTGCCTTTCCATTCTGTTCTCAGGCTTAACATAGCCTTCTGGTCTGATCTCTTCTGATATGACACAGCATCTTGACAAAGCCCAGGTCCTATTATTTTTCTTGGCTTTTTTTTCTCCTTAAACAGTACCTGAGGTTGACCCTGGGCCTTGTACATGCTAGGGAAATGCTGTACCACTGAGCTGCATCCCCAGTTCTTTTTATTGTTTTTTTTTTTTTAATTTTTTTTTAATATTTATTTTTTAGTTCTCGGCGGACACAACATCTTTGTATGTGGTGCTGAGGATCGAACCCGGGCCACACACATGCCAGGCAAGCTCGCTACCGCTTGAGCCACATCCCCAGCCCCTTTGTATTGTTTTATTTTGAGACAAGGTCTGCCTAAGTTGCCTGGGATGGCTTCACATTTGCAATCCTCCTGCCTCAGCCTTCCAAATAACTGGGATTACAGGCATGGACCACCATGCCTAGCCCTGCCAGTTGTGCCCATTGATCCACTAACAGACTTTCAAGCATTTTCTTCACCCAGCTCAGGATCTAGTCCAGAACTGGGTACTGTACCTAGCCATCATGTCTTGTTAGCTTCCTTTAATCTCCATAGGATACTTCTGAGAAATATACAGAAATCAATTTACCTTGGTAGAATATTCTTTTGGACAGCCCATGTTGACGTCAATACCAGCTACATCATTTTCTCTGGAAAAACATGAAAAGCAAAAAGGAAATAAACATTAAAGGGCTGGGGTTGTAGCTCAGAAGTAGAGTGCTCAACTAGCATACATGAGGCACTGGGTTCGATCCTCAGCAACATATAAGAAAATGAAATAAAGATATTGTGTGTTCACCTACAAGTAAAAAGTAAATATTAAAAAAAAACATTCAAACTGTGGGAAGAAAGTAGAGTAAAAAGCATGGATGAGTATGTGCTCATAAACCTGTCATTGTGAGTCTGGATTCAAGAAACAGACTCAATGACAGACTTCATCTGAGCAGAGTTCCAGAGGAAAGACATAATGTATCTACACATTGAAAAGAGCTAGGTATTGAGGTCTTTGCTACAATGGAGTTGTGTCAGATAACTCAAATACCAAGTTACATTCATGCTAAACTTAATTCCAAGGCAGCATTTCTCACTGGGTTAATGAAAGCTATTTGCTAAGGCAAAGATGTGACATAAGCACAAGAGCCCTTTGCCAGAGCAACTCCTCTGGTAGAAGTTACAGGACTGCCTTCAGTTGCTGGGTGACACGGGTAGCTTACTGCAAACAATTATCAGATGCAGAAAGAACTCTGACCTCATTCTCTGATTTTAACAGACTGTGATCAAAAGCAATTACTGCCCGAGTCTCTTCTTGCTACCACTATCATCAATATCAGAAGGGAACATTTACTAAGCACTCCCAATGTGTGACATTTTCCAAATAACATGCCTTATTTCACTTGCCCTACACTATGCCAGAGGATGTTACTACTACTGGTATCCTTTCACATAGAAAGGAACAAAGTAATCAGCAAGGTTAAGTAACTTCCTAAGGTCACACAGTTAGCCAGTAGCAAACCATTAACTCTAAAACCCACTCTTAAACCGTGAATATTCTGCTGCCTTTATTAACTCCGGAAGCAATAAGTCTCACCTACACGGAGAGTTAAAACCTCAGGACTCACAATCAGAAGTATCCCCAAAAAAGAGAATCCCATAAATAAACATTAAAATTGTACCTCCACATGGGGGTCTCTGTGGTCTGGGAACAGTGGGTACATTTGAATCCCAGGACAGCCTTCAGATGTCATAAACAGGGAAGGAAATCACTCTCAATTGAAAATAGTAACATGCCAGGAGACAGAAGTGTGGGTCACTTTCAAAGTCACCAGTGACAGTAAGACCTCTTAACTCCAATAAAGACAAAGGGAGCTCAAGAGGGAGGAACTTACACAAGCTTGGCCACAGCAAGTGCTCGCTCTGCATCTGAGGTTCCCTAGGAACACAAAAGGCTTCATCAACCAATGCCCTGAAAAAGGCAAATGTACGTGACAAACACACCCATCTCCCCCACCACACACATACACACTCTTTCCCACTCTCTATTTCTCTCTTACAAACACACACACACAAACAACACACATTGTCATGCCAACAAGCAGTTTGGGCCAGTTTTCTCCCAAAAAGCCAGCCCAATATATTAGCTCACTGGTTTAAAAAAAAAAGATGGACTTGGAAGGCCTAAACAATGCTGTTGTTACTTTCCAACATACAAAAACATGAAAAAAATCTTATAGAAAATATTCAGATACCACAACTTAGATTCCATAATTATATCTACTTGATCACATACCCACTCACTGTCATCAACTTTATAAAAACTTAAATATCTTTTGGGAGCTATTTCTAAAAGAGCTCCAAGAAATGTCCAGTGCAAGAGAAGAGAGCTATAGTTTAACTACCCAGTCACCGAGACGCACACCTATAATCACAGTGGCTGGGGAGGTTGAGGCAGGAATATTGCAAGTTTGAAGCCAGCCTCAGCAATTCAGTAAAGTTTTAAGCAACCTGGTGAAATCCTGTCTCAAAATAAAAAATAAAAAGGGCTGGGGATGTGGCTCAGGGGTTGAGTACCCTTGAGCTCAATCCCTGCTATCAAAAAAACAAATACAAACAAAAAATTCAAAAGTTTACTGTTAAAGAAATCTAATTCCTTTGATAGGAAATAAATTCAGACTATAAAAAATAAGCAGTATGATATGAATACTCAATGTTACAGATTAGAAAAATAAATATAGAGACACTTAATTAAGTAAATTAAATCTGAGACTTGCAGGTATGTAACAGACTGTGTCAGCTTGATTTCCATAATCTGTCTCCAATACTGTAAGTACTCAGGAATGACCCTTTGAAAAATGGTCAAGTCTTCAGGAAGTCCCTGCTATGCAAAGTAGCTCAGGCACTCAATAGTGGCCAGCACAGGACCCAAGCAATGAAACAGGAGACAGGAATACTCAGGAGGACACTTGACATTAGGGTCTCATACCATCTGGAAGACCACCCTGCTCTGTTCTCTTTCACAGGTGCGGAAGATGACTCGATCATCAGGGGCGACAAAATCCACTGTTTTGAGCACCTCTGCAAGAAAACATAAACACATGGGATACAAGTTCAGACTAGCCTAAGCCCTGGCAGTGAACACAGCCAAGTATAACCTTGAAAAGAAAAAAGGGATCAGATGATTCCTACAAAATAAGTATGCACTGGGAGGCATCTAAGGTGCTGATATGGTCCATCTCATGACACAGGTAATGGTTGGTTCACTTTATAATTATTTGTTAAATTGCATATTTAGGTTTTATGCACTTTTTCTTCATGATTACAAGCACTTTACAATTTTTTGAAATACTGGAAAAAATGTACACACATTTAATTTGTGTTTCAATACTAGAACTGTCCTGGAAGATGGCACTTTGAGGGTCTGCAAGTGATCATTTCTTAATTACTTAGAGTAATTAAGTGGAGGAGTACTCTATTTCAGCCAGTCTTCACTATTATTTGCAGTTGCATATTTTCAAATTCATCTATTTAGTAAAATTAATTTATAACCCTAAATCAATACATGTGGTGTTTCCAGTCATTCAGGGACAGACACTAAGTGACAACAAATTGGAATCACCTGATGTACATATACATCTCCAGCTGAGTTCAAACACGGTGCCACTTGTTTTCTTGTTTTAGCTCTTATACTGTAAAAATGAGCCCTTTTTATGTTATATTTAGCCCTTCATTTTGTGTATTTTTGTGCTTTTTTTTAGTGATCTCACTGTTTAAAATGACTCCAAGCATAGTGCTGAAGTTCTGTCTATTATCTTAAGCAAAAGAAGGCTGTGGTGAACCTAAAGGTCAAAACACTTGTATTCGATAAGCCTTGGTTATGACAATATAGTGCTATTGGCTCTTGAGTTCAAGGTTAATGAATCAATGATCGATCCATGAGAGCATATGCTTAACATGCACAAGGCTCTGGGTTTGAACCCTAGTTCCTAAATAAATAAACAGCATGTCTTTGAACAGAAACAAATGAAATAAACTAAGTTTAAGTGATGATCAGATGATGAAAATATGACCAGAGGCTAGCAAAAACCTAATTCTGTATTTCCCCTAGGGTCACTTGGTTCAATAGTCATGAATAGATTTTAAGTGTTTCTCAGCAATTTAACCGAACATTAACAAAAATCAACTACATCTCATATATCCTCCTTCTTTTTTTTTTCTTAGTTGTTCATTGACCTTTATTTTATTTATATGTGTGTGGTGCTGAGAACCAAACCCAGTACCTCACACATACCAGACAAATGCACTACTGCTAAGCCACAGCAGAAGCTCAACAAAAGCTTCTATCATCACTGACTTTCAAAGATGACTAATATAATAAAAAGATATAATGTGGCAGATGGGTGAATATACCTATCTTGAAGGCTGTTTTGAGAACTAAAATCTTTAAAGCATGTAAAGCATTTCCATAAATGGAATCTGGAATTATCATCCCAGCATTGAACAGTTTAGAAGGTTAAAAAGACATGTTGGGAGAGGTAATCGAAGTAATCTCTCACAGAGAAAGCTTAACACTGGCAGGAAGAAAGGTGAGAGAACCACAAAAACTAGAGTGTGCTTATAATGAAGTTTACTGATAAAAGCAAAATACTGAAAGCCCAGTAAAGGCACTAGAGAAACCAATTTTAATGTATCTGATAGGCAAAAATGTAAAAAAGTGGCTAAACAGTACATGCCACACAATCCCAAGGGAAGGGGGCACAGATAAAAAGTGGGCACATTTTTAAATATTACACATTTTTCATAATATACGTGTAGGAAAACCCACATTATTCCTCTTTATGCTTAATTCTTTTGTTGTTGTTGTGGTACATGGGAATGACCCCAGAATCTCATGAATGCTGGGGAAGTTCCTATCACTGAGCTACATGCAAAACCCTATAATTAACCTTTCTTTTTGGTACTGGAGATTCAAACTAGGGGCAATTTTCCAATGAGCTACATCCCTAAGCCTCTTTATTTTTAATTTTGAGACAGGTCTTGCTAAGTTGCTGAGGGTAGCCTCCTGCCTCAGCCTCCTGAGTCACTGGGATTACAGAGGTGTGCCACTGTACCCACCTTGATTAACTCTTTAAGTATGAGATTATGGAGGATTTTCATTTTCTAGGTTTTATGGATTCATAACATTGATTTTTTTCATAACATACAAAAATAAATAAAAGAGAATTTGACGAAATTGAGTCATGACTTTTTGTGAAATATCAAGATTTGATATATACATGTGTATATGTACATATGTATGTATCAGAAACCTCAAAGATTACCACAACTCTAATCAAAGCAGAATCAGCCTCATCAATAAACTAGAAGAAAACCCATAGTTCACCACCAGCACTTCCATTTTCACAGGGCTTAAGGTGTACAAACTACTTACTGTTTCCTTATCTTATTTTGTCTTCACTTTAACTGTACAATTTAAATAAACTAAGGCTCATAATTACATTTGAATGATAAGAAATTATGGTGGAAAGAAGTCCTATGACTTGCCCAAGTCACAGGCCAGGCCAAGCACTGAAGCCATTGTGACTTCAAGGATCCTAGGATCCCTTCTGTATACGAAACATGGTCATTTCTATGTCACCAAGGCATTCTTAGCCTGCTTCACATCAGGCTTCAGGTGGAAAGCAATGACTGCTCTCAAGGGAGCACATGATCCACACAATGACATTATGCAGCCCAGCAGGAACCCAGGTAGGGACAGTGGTAGTATCACCTAAGCCAAATGAGCACACACACAATTCTGGGCCAGGGCTGGACTCACCATTGACAACTCTCTTGCACTGAAGCATCTTGAGGTCAATCAGCTCCTGTAGAGAAATTGGAGACAATGGTCAGTCCTGGACATGTAGACCCTGGACATAAGAGAAGGCCCTGGACTCAGGAAAACTACCTTCATTTCACATCTCATGGGTATTGCATGGACGGTCACACTAGTACTAACAATAAATCGTGATTTGGGGGACATGTAATGTGGTCCTCTCCACCCAAGCATGGAAAACAGGGCCCTGAGTAAGCTATCCTCAATCAGGTTATCAGGTTATCTTAACAGGAACCTTGGAGATGTTTGAGGAAGTATGAGCCACTCAGAGAGCAGATAACTACCTAGAACATGGATACTGAGACATTCTCCTCATTTATTAGTCTCAGCTCAAGCCCACTCTCCTCAAACAACCTCTCACCTGGATACCTAGGCAGAAGGTGACAAGTGAAGAGCTTTGAAGAAAGGCCTAATGAATGATAAAACTGGGACCAGGGCAAAGAAGCATAGAGACAAAAATTTGAGATGAACACAGGAATGAAAAGTCTATCCAGTGAGCTCCCAACTCAGGAAACATTCAAGCAGACACAGAAAGAAAAGAAATAAGGGGATCTTCAAATTTAGTATCATAAGCATGGAGGGAGTTGGGCACCATGGCACATACCTGTAATCTCAGCCTCAGATACTTACTAAGACCTCAGTAACTTAAAAAAAAACCCTGTCTCAAAATTTAAAAAATTAAAATTAAAATTAAAAGAACTGGGGATAGGGGTCAGTGGTAAAGCATCCCTTGGTTCAATCCCCACTACCATAAAAAAAAAAAAAATAGAAAGAGGGCTCGAGGGCTGGGGATGTGGCTCAAGCGGTAGCACGCTTGCTTGGCATGCGTGCGGCCCGGGTTCGATCCTCAGCACCACATACAAACAAAGATGTTGTGTCCGCCGAAAACTAAAAAAAAATAAATATTAAAAATTCTCTCTCTTTAAAAAAAAAAAAAGAAAGAAAGAAAGAAAGAAAGAGGGCTGGGATTGTGGCTCAGCGGTAGAGCGCTTCCCTAGCACGAGTGCAACCTGGGTCCAATTCTCAGCACCACATAAAAATAAATAAATAAATAAAGGCATTGTGTTGTGTCCATCTACAAAAAAGATTCATTCTCTCTCTGTCTCTTTAAAAAAAATAGAAAGAAAAATTAATATGACATTTCCAGATAAACAAATGAAATATACCTCATATGATCATTAGGATGGCTATTATTTTAAAAAGAAAATCATAAGCATAAATTTGTCAGGGGCAAATCCTCTGAAAGGGAAATGAGGAAAACTATGCCATTATAATAGCTTCAAAAAAACATACTTGCAAATTAAACTAATAAAAGAGGTGAAAGACCTCTACAAAGAAAACTACAGAATGCTAAAGAAAGAAATTGAGGTAGACCTTAGAGGATGGAAATATCTCCCTTGTTCTTGGATAGAAAGAATTAATATGTCAAAATGGCCATACAACTAAAAGCATTATACAGATTTAATGCAATTCCAATCAAAATCCCAATGACATTCCTCATAGAAATAGAAAAAGCAGTCATGAAATTTACCTGGAAAAATAAGAGACCCAGAATAGTCAAAGCAATTCTTAGCAAGAAGAATGAAGCAGGTGGCATCACTATACCAGATCTTAAATTATATTACAGAGCAACAATAACAAAAACAGCATGGTGCTAGCACCAAAATAGACTGGTAGATCAATGGTACAGAATAGAGGACACAGAGACTAACCCACATAATTACAGTTATCTTATTTTTTATTAAAAAATATTTATTTTTAGTCATAATTGGACCCAAAGGTATTGTACCTTTATTTTTTTAAATTTATCTTTATGTGGTGCTGAGGATCGAACCAAGGGCCTTACATGTGCTAAGCTAGCGCTCTACCACTGCACCACAACTCCAGCCCCATTTACAGTTATCTTATATTAGACAAAGGCTCCAAAAACATACATTGGAGAAAAGATAGCCTCTTTAACAATGGTGCTGGGAAAACTGGAACTCCATATGTAACAAAATGAAATTAAATCCCTATTTCTCACCATGCACAAAACTCAAAGTGGATCAAGGACCTAGGAATTAAACCAGAGACCCTGCGTGTAACAAAAGAAAAGTAGGCCTAGATCTCAATCATATTGGATTAGGACATTATTTCCATAAGAGCACTCCTATAGCGCAAGAAGTATAAACAAGAATTAATAAATGGGATGGGGCTGGGGCTGGGGCTGGGGCTCAGCGGTAAAGCGCTTGCCTCACAGATGTGAGACCCTGGGTTCGAACCTCAGCACCACATAAAAATAAGTAAGTGAAATAAAGGTCTTTAAAAACAAAATTTAAAAAAAAAGAATTAATAAATGGGATGGATTGGAACTAAAAAGTTTCTTCTCAACAAAAGAAAAAATCAGTGAAGTGAAGAGAGAGCCTACAGCTTGGGAGCAAATTTTTACCACTTGCACATCAGAGCACTAATCTCTAGGGTATATAAAGAACTGAAAAAGCTAAACACCAAAATAACAAATAACCCAATCAATAATTGGGCCAAGGCCCTGAACAGACACTTCTCAGAAGAGGATATACAATCAATCAACAAATATATAAAAAGATGTTCAACACTCTAGTGATTAGAGAAATGCAAATCAAAACTACTCTAAGATTTCATCTTACTCCAGTCAGAATGGCAGCTATTAAGAATACAAACAATAATAAGTGTTGGTAAGGATGTGGGGAAAAAGGCACACTCATACACTGCTGGTGGGACTGCAAAATGGTGCAGCCAATATGGAAAACAGTATGGAGATTCCTTAGAAAACTTGGAATGGAACCACCATTTGACCCAGCTATCCCTCTCCTCAGTCTATACCCAGAGGACTTAAAAACAGCATACTACAGAGACATAGCTGTTAGACCAGGACGCAAGAAAAGACCACTGACTCCAATTAAAATCAAATTAAAGCAAGCTTATTATTTTGACCAGCTGGGCTGCCTCTCCCACCCAAAACCACAGGAACAAGACAGCAGCCGCAGCTTTCCTGCAGTTCAGCTTTATAGCCCAGAAAGTTAAACAAAGGGGGGTTACAGATAACAGAACTCTGAGGAGCATAACACAAATGGTAGTTTACATTTTTTGCTGGCCCCAACATCAGAATTTATGAGGATCATTAGAGCCTCAGAGAGGGTCGTTATCTGGCCAGGGAAGGCCAATATTTATGAGGTGTCACTAAAGTTTCAGAGAGGGCTGCTATCTGGTCAGAGAGCCAGGCATGGGTGAGTTCAAGGCATGGGCAGGCATTCCAAGAGGTTCAGAATTTGCAGTAATTTATACTAAAGCCGAAATTATCTTTTCATGGCTTTGTGGCGAGATGGCTCCCAATTTTGAGAGAAAATCAGGTTGGATCTATCAACAGCCACATCAATGTTTATTGCAGCACATAATAGCTACACTGTAGAACCTCAGTAGATGAATGGATAAAGAAAACGTGGTATATATACAAAATGGAATATTACTCAGCAATAAAAGAGAATAAAATCATGACATTTGCAGGTAAATGGATGGAGTTAGAGAATATAATGCAAAGTGATGTTAGCCAATCCCAAAAAACCAATGTCGAATGTTTTTTCTGATATAAAGAGGCTTATTCATAGTGGGGTTGGGAGGGGGACCATGGGAATATTAGAGGAACTCTAGATAGGGCAAAGAGGATGGAAGAAGGAAGGGGGAAAGAGGTGTAAAAAAGATGGTGAATGAGATGGACATCATTACCATGAGTACAAGTATAAAGACACAAATTGTGTGAATATACTTTCTATAACCAGAGATATTAAAAACTGTACTCCATATGTGTAATAGGAATTGTAATACATTCTGCTGTCATATATGACAAATTAGAATAAAAAAATTTGAAGGGGTTCTGTGTTTGGGATTGGTGTCCCTCATGACTTCATGGTTGTGACATGCTTGGTGCCTGGGAAAGTTCCTGTGCAAAGGCATAGGATGCCTGGTTGCTAAGGTAATGCCCTCCATGCTAGAGTCTTATCAGCTTCCACCTTAATCTTAGGCACATAACTCCTGGGAATAAAGGAACTTGTTTGCTTGGTAACTACGTTTCACCAAGGTCAGGCACTCCTGGAGCTGTCAGCCTAACAGTAACTTCAGACAATGGACCTCCTTGAGAACTGCACAAAGCTCTGAACATTACATACTGTAACTATTAAATGTAACTTCAGAATAAGCAACCTTACTGATACTCTAAACAATAATGTGGTTATTGGTACTAATGACCTAATGTTACCTAATGTTACCCCAAAGGACTTAAAATCAGCATAACTAGAGGCTGGGGTTGTGTCTCAGTGATACAGTGCTTGCCCAGCATGTGTGAGAAACTGGGTTCGATTCTCAGCACCATGTATATATAAATGAATAAATTAAATGTCCCTCAACATCTAAAATAATGTTTAAAAACAATCAGCATACTAGAGTGATGCAGACACATCAATGTTTAGAGCAGCTCAATTCACAATAGCTAAACTATGAAACCAACCTGGGTGTCCTTCAACAAACAGGCACTTCAGAAATGAAGAAATATAAGACTATACTTTCAGGGATCATTTCTATATTATGTTACTAGAAATGAAGAAATATGAATGGTCAAAAAATATGTGAAAAAAATGTTCAACATATCTAGCAAAATTAAGAAATACACATTACTACACTGAGATTCCATCTCACTCCAGTGAGAATGGCAATTATAAACAATACAAGTAACAATAAATGTGGGCAAGGATGTGGGGAGCAAGTAGAAACTTGGAATGGAACTACCAACTGATGCAGTTATCCCACTCTTTGGTCTATACTCAAGGGATGTAAAATCAGTATACTACAGTGACACAGCCACATCAATGTTTGGAGCAACTCAATTCACAATAGATAAGCTATGGAACCAACCTAGGTGACTTTCAACAAATGAAAAAAAAAAAGAAAATGTGGTATATATACACAATGGAATATTACTCAATCATGAAGAATAATGAAATTATGGCATTTGTTGGTAAATGGATGGAACTGGAAAAAATCCTGCTGAGTGAAATATGCTAATCCCAAAACACCAAAGGCTGAATGTTCTAACATATGGATGCTAACCAAGAACAACAGAGGGTAGGAAGGGGAAGAATATAATTCTACTGGATTAGACAAAGGAAAACAAAGGGAAGGCAGTAGGAAGGGGAATGGGAAGGACAGTTGAATTAATAAGACATAACCTTCCTAGTCTCCTAGTCTTGTTTTGAATATAAGACCAGGGTAACTCCACATCATGTACAACAACAAGAATAGGATCCTAATTAGAATAAGTTAACTCCATGTATGTATATTATGCCAAAATACATTCTCTTATAATGTATAACAAAAAAGAACAAATTTAACAACAAGAATAAAAAAAAAAAGAATCCTGTGTCCTAAGATGAGGATATATAGTTCAGTCCCAGAGTACCTGCCTAGCATATACAAGGTCCTGGGTTCCACTCTCAGCACTGCCAAAAAAAATAAAAAATAAAAAATCCTTTCCCCTCCAAAAGAAAAATAAAAAAAAAAAGAAAGAAACTGACTCCACTCCACCACTGGCCATCACCCCTGGTACCCCCTCACTTCTAACTCCTTCCTTCCTCTAATTCCTCAAACATGCAACTCATCTATAAATATCTCACTTCCCCTACTTCCTTTCCTTCAAGCCACCTGCCTATACTTGTTCCACGCTTATGTAGCTGAAGTTGTAGCCAGCAGTCCTATTTCTGCCTCCTTGTTTGCTGTTCATCTTTAAGCCCTTAACTCCTCACCAGGCCCCAGTGACCTCATTCTCACATATACCAATTCAATCTCTCTGTACCATCTGACATTGTTCACAGACCTGACTTCTGCCTTCCCTAACAGTACTTTTTAAATATTTTTAGTTGTACATAGACACAATATCTTTATTTTATTTATTTATTTTTATGTGTGCTTAGGATCAAACCTCACTCTACCACTGAGACATAACCCCAGTCCATAGACTCTCCTTAATTTGCCTATTTTCTCATATTTTTACTTCTCATGTTGACTCTTATTCTCAAACACCCCACACAGAATATAGGGTATTTTCCCCAACTCCACTTATAGACCTTCCCTAATCTCTACACAGTGGGATCCTCTCCAATTGAACATTTTATCTTAGAGTAACTGTGGGTTCACATGCAGCTGTAAGGAATTCAGAGAGATCTTAGACCTAAGTACCCTTCACCAGTTTCCCCAATGGCAACATCTTAACAATAACACAAAATCACAATCAGGACACTGACCCTGACACAGGTAAGAAACAGAACGATCTCATCACTACAAGGATTCCTCTTATTGCCTTTTAGAGCCACAGTCATGCCACTGCCTATACTCAGGGCTGGGATTGTGGCTCAGGGCTGGGATTGTGGCTCAGTGGCAGAGTGCTTGCCTCACACATGTGAGGCACTGGGTTCAATCCTCAGCACCACATAAAAATAAATAAACAAAATAAAGATATTAAAAAAAAGAAAGCTCTCCAGATTAATTCTGATACATACTCAATTGAGAACCACTGCTCACATTCCTTCATCATGCAACATTAGCTACTCCTTTAATTCTATTTTTCCTGATAGATTTTTTAAAATATTTTTTAGTTGTTGATGGACATTTCCTTAATTTGCTTATATATTTGTGGTGATAGAAATTGAGGCAAGCACTCTACTGCTGAGTTGCAACTCTAGCCCCTTGACAGATCTTTTTAAACCTGGGTCTAAAGCCTACTTTTCTCCAGAGCAGTCAGCAAGTATATCTACTGGCCTACCAGCTATCACCACCAGAAAATCCTATGGCAACCAAAAACCAACCTCATCCAGCTTCCTTAGCCTGATTCTGGTCCTTTTCCTCTTCTTCCTAACCTCCGAGTCCATTTACTGATGTACTGAATGTATGTTAGCTCCTACAGGGGCCACGGCACTTCCCCAACTTGATGCTCATCTACTCATCTCAGTAACCCAAACTCCTCTGTGCTGCCCAGGATGCTGGCCCTCAGTAGGGCCCACAGAACTCATCAGTGCCTGCCTGTTGCTCCCCTCCCACCTTCAACAAACACCTGTGTGGGGAATTCCCATTCTGCCTCCCCCACTCCTGACCACTCCCACATCCAAATGAGGAGGCTGCACTTGAGGGAAAGCCCTCCCAGAAAACCAGGAGCACTTACCTCACAGTAAACAATGTCAGCTCCATAATCCAGGGCCAGCAGCCGCATTGGGAGAGTGCCGACCCGAACCATAGGGGCTAAGATGAGTTTGTTGTGGTAGCACAGAGAGACACTATTCACAATCATTCCTCCTCTGTTTCATCTGAAGAACAGGAAAATAAGGAAAATAAACAGGTCAGAAATTCAAGTGGAAACAGTCCCTTCTCTTAGCAAGGACAGATTTTCCTTTTTCCTTCCAACCCACAGTCATTTGTGTTCCTTTTGTCTGATCTTACAAAATATGCATGTTCTGTCATTCATCGAACCACTATTCATTAAGTACTTAATCTCTGCCCAGCACTGTCCTAGTCTCTTGGAATACATTAGAACACAAAACAGACAAAAATTCCTGCTCAGCAGAGCTTTCATGCTACTGGAGGAACACAGGCAAAAGTCATTAAGCAGCAGATTGAAAAACTGGTAGGGACCTGTAAGAGAAAAGAGCAGGAGATGAACTGCAAACTTTGCCTTTCTTAAAATGCAGCAATCTTATTTTTACTTTTTTAGTTTGTTTCTTTATTTTCTTTTAACACAGGGTCTCATTCATTATATGGCCCATGCTGGTCTCCAACTCCTGACTCAAGAGATTCTTCTGCCTTAACCCCCCAATTACCAAGGACTGCAAACTTGTGCTACCAGTCCTGGTGGGCTGCAATTTTATTTATTTATTCCTTTATTTATTTATTTATGTATCTTTACTTTTAGGTGGATACATTAGTTTGTTTTTGTGGTGCCTAGGATCGAACCCAGTGCCTCATATATGCTAGATGAGCACTCTACCACTGAGCCACCACCCCAGCCCCTTATTTATTTATTTTTGTGCTCAGGGTTGAACCCATAACACTTAACCACTGAGCAACACCCTTAGCCCCTTTTTGTTATTTGAGTCAGCAACCGTTATCTGTTCTGGCTTGGTGCAAGAGCACATTGAAATGGAGGAAAATTGTCAGGTCAGACTTCCAATGAGCTCTACGTTTTTAGAAAGAATCATAAAAGTAGCATAGAAGCTGTGCTGGAGGCATACACCTATCATCCCAGCTACTTGGGAGGGTGAAATAGAAGGATTGCAAGTGCAAGGCCAGCCTAGGCAACCTAGTAAGACACTGTTAAAGGGATGAGGATAAAGGCATTATGAGAGCTTGCCTAGCATCTTTTGAGGTTCTTGGTTCAAGGCTTTCCCACCAAAACAATATTAATATTCAATACAAATTTCCTTTTTTCTTTCTTTCTTTCTTTTTTTTTTTTTTTTTTTTGTGTGTGTGTGTCCTGCTGGAGACTGAACCCAGTGCCTCACTCCTACCATGCAAGAGCTCTACCAACTGAGATATTCCACTACTGCCAGATACATTTTTCTCCTGCATATTTCCAATCCACACTTGATTGAATCTACAGATTCGCAATCTGAGGGTAGGAAGGATCTACAATCAAGAGAGAACTTTTCAGGAAGTATGATTAGTGTAACTTTTTTACAACTTGAATACCTGTATTTCAGTCAAATATTCTTACTGACCAGGCCTATGTGAGATAAGCCACATAACAAAGCTGAGGACTTCTGGATCTTTTCTACTACTACTATCTGAGAAATTACCATACTTGAGATAGAAAGTGAGTTGGCTGCGAGAGTGGTGTATTCAGGATGGGAAACTTGGAAAGGTGACAAGGAAGCAGAGAGAGAAATTTGACTTTAAAAATAAAGTTTTTTAATGTGAAGAAGAGATGAGATGTCGGCACTAAAAAGAAAGCCTTATCAACTTACCTCCCACTTCAGAGAAAAAAATAAGCTTAAGGACACCACCTTGTACTGCGAGTTCTGAGCCAGAGTGGAGCGGGAATTGAGCTTAGATTTATAATTCCACACCCTTCTCTCAGTCCCCAGGCCTACCATTCATTCAGACGCTGGAAAAACACGTATTACCAGTCTTTCCGCATGTCTGGAAACGTCACCGCATCCCTCACCCAAAGAATTTACAAGGGGAGCCTGGCACTAAACAAGCCATCAACAGGGGCAATGAGGACGACAAACGAGAACCACAAAGAATGGGCACCCGATCTCCAGAAGACACCAGCCCACCAGGTCCATAGGACCAGGGCCCCACTGACGCTGGACATTGCAGGCCCATGCTCCCGCCTCCACCGTGCTCCCCACCCAAAGGCGGTCTAGATCTGGATATCGCCATCCGGGTGCTGATCTACAGACCTAGCAGTCACTGAAACTTAGGGAATCCTCCCCACTTCCTGACGCGTCTCCAGCTCCGCACCTTACTGAGCCGAGCCAGCCGCCGTACGCTAGGAAGCGGCGCATGCGTGACGTCACTGACGTGCGCCTCTCCAACAACAAGGGCAACAGGACTGTCGCGCGCCCGACGTTGCTGTGGTTGGTCGTAGCTCAGTTGCTGCAGGCGTCCTCGAGGATCCCCTCCCAGTGGTGCTCATTCCGCGAGCTCTACCGAGGCGGCAGGAAAAGCGACAGAGCGTCCGTGGATTGCTCAGCGGCCTGAGTTAAACCAGCCTCAAGCTGGACAGTTGAGAGTGCTCGCCTCGCGTGACTGGGAGCATGGAGCGCACACAACTGGAGGCGCCAGCGCTGCGGGGCCTGCCGTCCGACGGCAGCTTCGCGGACCTGGGTCTGGAGCCCGGGTTGCTGCGCGCACTGCACGATGCTGCTCGCGAAGTCTTTCGGCCCACCACCGTGCAGTCACGCACCAGACCCCAACTGCTTCACAGCCACCACCTCCTTTGCGCCGCAGAAACGGGCAGTGGCAAGACTCTGAGCTATTTACTTCCTCTGTTGCAAAGGTTTTTTGATCGTCCAGCTCTGGAAACCCACCGCATATCTGCCCCTCGGGGTCTGGTCCTTTTGCCTTCCCGAAAATTAGCAGAACAGGTGCAGGCTGTGGCCCAATCGCTAGGCCGCTCCTTGGGCCTGCGGATACAAGAACTAGGAGGAGGTCATGGCATGCGTAGAATCAGGCTGCAACTGTCCAAACAACCTTCAGCACATATATGTTAGTTGCCATTCCAAGGGCTCTATGGAAGGCCCTGAAGAGTCAACTGATCACCCTGGAGCAACTCTTCTTTATGCTGTTGGATGAGGCAGAAACATCTTGGTGAACTACATCTTGGAAAAGAGTTATATAGCCCAAGGCCCAGCTTTCTTACAAGACCCTTTCAACCCCAAAGCTCAATTAGTGCTGACAGGTGCTCTGTGTTCCATCCCCAAGGCTAGACACAGATTTCACAAGGTTGTTTTTTTTCTTTTTTTAAACAATGAGATAATATCTTTTTGCACAATGAGCTTGCAGACTCTACTCATACCTTGTGTGTGCAATCCTAGCATTTACAAGAAAGAGTAAGTTTCAAACCACGATGCCTTCTGCAGACATCCTGCCTGCTGAAATTCTTTGTAAAAATCTTTCTGACCAGAGGAGAAGCTTAATCATGGCAAGGGTCTTCAGTGTGGGGGTCTCTGGCCTCCTTCACTGGAAATCGGGTAGGAATATATTCTGGATGACCACAAAATCAAAGGCTTCAGGGGCAAATGCCAGCCTCAGTGAGAATAGGTAACTTATAATGCCTCTAAAAGTGCTCCCAAGACATACTGCTTTGCATAAACAGCCTCCTGGGGCCTAGACAGCACCCATGTGGAATTGGTTGTTAATTATGATTTTCCCCTCACCCTGCAAGATTACATCCACAGAGCAGGGATTGGGAGCAAGGTGTTGGGCACAATCATCAGCTTTTTGACCTATCCCTGGGATGTGAGCCCATTTGAGAAGGTTGAACTTGCAGCTCATCCAAGGAGAAGCCTTCCAGGACTAGCATCCTCAGTGAGTGAGCTTTTACCTCAGCAAGCTTGTTTTTTGGCCAACTAAAGTGGAATTCTGGATAAGGAATCTTTTCTAGTGTCCTTGGTGGGTGAACACACTTATCATTTACACTGCCCTTAATGCCTCTCACGGCCTGGTGAGCTGCTTGTGGCTTTGAAAGATAAGTTATTGGCCACCTTTGGAACAGAAGCATGGCTCCATAGTAGCATAGCCTTTCACGTAATACATGAAGAATAATTTTTTTTTCATTTTAGACTTAATTCACATCAAAGGAATACACACAGAGATGTCTGTCAAACAGAACAATAGTTAGAAAGCTGAAATTCCTAAAAATAGGGTCAGATGCTGGCACTGCACACCTAGTAAGCCCCAGATTGCTGATCCACATGTGCCTCTGTGTCTTTTCTTATGCATCATCCTCAGGCAGCTCAAAGCTTTCACAGACCAGAACCCAGCTGTTTTCTGTCTAGAAAGAGTTTTAAGGCCATAAGTTGAAAGATACTAAACATAATCTCTGCCAAGAATAACACTGGGATGTCAGCAACTGTACTGGCCCCACAGTATTTCCCTTCTCTCTGAAGAAGGTAAAAAGAAAATTCCAAGAAATGCTGTAGCATTCTCATATATGTGGGAACTTTCCAACCTGGCTACATTTTCCTCTCAAGCACATTTTATTTTCTAGAAAGGAGTCAGCAATAGGTGGTCCCTGATCTTAATGAAAATAATCCCAGAGCAAAACAAGAATTCAGGAATTCAAATTTGATCCATTCTTCTGCTTTTGTTCTTCATGCCTGGTTTCACTTCCTTATAAACACTTTGGGGAACATTTCACTTTTATCCAGAGTTCCCCAAGAGTCTCAGAAAGCATATATTTGGGTCAATCTTAAAATGGGTTTTATTTTGTGTCATGGCATGCTTTCAAACCATAAATGATGGTTTATCGGCTGCCTTAACAATTATCACTGGGGCAGAACTTCATTGTATTTGATAATTCACACTCCAAATTGCCACATGTAGGTCAAAGACTCAGATGATTTTATTTTCTTTCATTGCAGTACTGTGGATGGCAAGCTCTCCACCACTGAGCTATATCCCAGGCCTATTGTTTCTTTTTTCTTTCTCAGAAACCATAGAACTTAAGAAATTTTTGGAAGGATGAGACAGGAGAATCGCAAGTTCAAAGCCAGCCTTAGCAATAGTGAGGTCCTAAACAACTCAGTGAGATCCTGTCTCTAAATAAAATACAAAACAGGGCTAGGCCTGTGGCGCATGGACA